CCCTCGATTTTTGCCGCCAACTAGTCTCCTGAGCTATTGCTAACTCGACTATTTCCCTCTTAACCTCCCCCAATCTCTCTTTCTCAGATTCGTCTAACTACTCTGCCCCTTCCCCTCTGTCTAAATCCCCCAATTCATGCATAAGCTCCCTTATTTTAACCTCTACCCTCCCAAAAACCTCCTTATTCCACCTAAGAATATCTCCCTTGAGCAATTTGAGTTTCTTCGAAAGACGGTATGAATGTGACCCTGATACCCCGTAGCTTGTCCACCATTCTTTCACGTTGTGACCGAATCCTGGCACTTTCAACCACATGTTTTCGAATCGGAAGGGAGCACGCACCCCCTCCCTCTGCATCCATCTAGCAAAATAGGCAAATGATCTGAAGTCAACCTGGGTAAAGGAATCTGCAGCACATTCGGCACCAGCTCATCCCATAAGGGAGATGTTAGGAATCTATCAAGTCTAGAACTTGAGTTGGAATCCTCCGCCCTGACCCAAGTAAACCTTTCCCCTGACAGAGGAAGGTCAATGAGAAAGTGATCATTGATGAAGTCAGAAAACTCCTCCATGGCCCTCGAAATCACACTACACCCTAATCTCTCCTCCGGGAATCTAATAGTGTTAAAGTCTTCCCCTAGAACCCATGGAATGTCCCATTCCCCCATAATATTGGCCAGTTCCTCCCAGAAAGACACCTTGGACCCTTCCCCTACCGGCCCATACACTCCCCCAAATCCCCACTCTACCCCACTCACTCTATCTTTGACAAGAGCTGCCAAAGAGAAAACTCCTTTCCTAATCTCCTTTACCTCCAAGCTTCTATCATCCCACATGAGTAGAATGCCCCCGGCACTTCCCGCTGCTGGGACCCAATCATATTTCACCCAACTACCTCCCCAGACACTTCTCACGATCGCATCCGACAAAACTTCCATTTTGGTCTCCTGAAAACAAACTAGGTTGGCACCCCACTCCCTAACTCCCACTTTGATGATGGCCCTTTTGTTTGGATCATTCATCCCCCTCATATTCCATGAAAGGATCTTAACTTCCATAAGCGACAATAGCCCCCATTTCCCCACCCCCCAGCCGAGGTCCCTTTCTCTTTATCACACACTCGCCCCCTTCTCTGATACACCACTACATCCCTTAAGTTATTTTGCTCAACACCTTTACCCAACTCCCTCCCTGCACCATCGTAAAGAGATTGTTGCTCAATCTCCCTCAACAGTTCTAACACCCTATCTTCCTTCCCTTCAACAGAAACACCTAGAAACTTCCCAAAGTTTAATAGTTTATCCTCCATCCAGAAAGACATATCCCCTCCTCCGATCCTTGACAAACTTGGGCAGGCTTCTTCTATATGTGCCCTTTCCTTGCTACTATCAGAGGAATACAAGACCATAGCATTGCTAGCACTAGGAGTTTTAACCTCTGAAAGGGTTTCACCATTTCTTTGAGGGTCAGCAACCTCTAAAATTAACACGCCGCTGCTATAGGAATGTCCAGAACCATCAATAGTGTAGCATGGTGGAAGAGAGCATGGAACCCTTGGCGGCATATTAATTGAAAGTACTGGTCTGACACTAACATCAATTCGGGCATGCTCAACAATCACCCCCAGAAGAAGAAGAAGAAACTTTAAGTGTGGCCTCAGCACAACTAAGCCCAGGAGCAGGTGAGGGGTTGATGGAATCGGGTCCATTAGAGGCGGTGGGCCGTGGATTAACAGCACCATCCATACCGGTTCTGCCCCTGCAACAACGACCATCGTAGAGGGGCACATGTCACTAGAGCTCGGTGAAGGAGTGCCACTGTGTGAAGCACCATGGCCAGAGGAAGGAGGAACGACTGTTCCCATATGCTTAGGAGCCTTATCATGCGCAGCTTGAAATAAACTGGGCCCCTTAGGATCAATTCTAATGGAATTGGGGAAAGTTGCCGGAAAAGGCCACACGCGCCGGCGCGTGGCTGGGATCTCGCCGGAAAGACATGCGAGTTGGCGGCGCGTGAGGGCGCGGTTGCTGGGGGAATTTACTGGGGTTTGGTCGCGGGGAGCTTGGCTCTTGATGGGTGTGGTGGAAGTTTAGGAATAAGAAGAGATAGAAGAGGCTCGGCCATAGAAAGTACTGTTGAGGCATGCATTAGCAGACCTAGGGTTCTTGCTTACTGTTTGTCTTGGGCTGAGCTGGGTGGATGCTGGACCCGGTTCCAGCAGACCTATGTAAATAATTTTTTTGCTTGCTTGGGAAAAGAAAGAGGGGCCTACTTATGTGAGTGTACATTTATGATGACGTGCATATGTTTTGCACCATTTTGGTGATTCAGTACGACCGAATTTGACTTGTCAAACTTTTTTTTTGTCCAAAAAAGATGCAACTATCATCTCGAAATATGTTGACAATTGGCTGAAGTACTTTCAAGTTTTAAGAGATGAAGATGATTGGAAGTTTCCACAAAGAGAAATGTTTAATCTCAAAGATTTAGGGATTATAGTCTCAAGGTTAAGGTTCTGGGGATTACCATTTACCACCACTCAGCTTAAAAGCTTAATAATTTTTTGATAGTTAGCTTTAAACATAAGATTCAATGGTCAGCTGATGTCCTACATGGATAGCAGTTTCTGACAACTCTTAAACGTAGATGTTCTTTTTTTCCCCTTTTTCTTGGACCTTTCACTTTTGTGGACGAACTACTACTTTTCTGCTAAACATGCTACTAGGCATGAAAGGATGCTCAGAGAATCTTTTTTGATAAATACAGAGTTTCATAGAACTTGCAAAGGTTTTATTGTCCCTATTTGAAGAAGTATTTCATTTGCATCTACTATTACTTTATGTGTGTGAGTGCGTTAGTAACTGATTTTATTCATAATTTTTCTTAGTTTTAACCTTGTTTGAAATTTTTTTTGGTTCTTCAAAAATGTGAGTTTCTCTTTAAAAACTTTCCATGGTTTATAGTTGTTCCAGAATTTTTTAAACTTGAAGATCTTTTTTTTTAAAGTTATATCTTATGTGACTCTGAAGTGAAAAAGCATATATCACAGCATAGCTACTCCGTGGGTTACTTCAAAGCTCGAACACTCCCCTGTTCACATAACAACCAGAATTTTTTCTTGATTAAAAAAATGGCAACCAGAATTTCTTATTCATTGATCTTTTTCTTGCTTTGCAGGATTGTATATCCACAGTTATACTGAAACACAGCTCATTGTAGATACTTCAAGGGGAGGAAAATTACATATACATGTAAAGTTCACTGTCTTCTTAAGATGTCAATTAAAACTTCATAATATATGATCTCTGAGAGCATTTTTTTCCTTTCATGTTTCAAGATTTTATGCTTTCTATGAGAATATTGATTTTATCTTCGGCAGATATAATAGCTGAAAGCGCCTTTTCAAACCAGTATGCTTCAAAAAAATCTGCCCGCGAAACTTACGTTTTCTGTGGCTGCAGATGTAGACTTAATATATCTTTTGTTCTTCAAGCAGTTTGATATCACTTTTCCAGCTGTTCCATGTTCACTGCTCAGTCTTGATGCCAGGGATATTAGCGGAGAAGAACATTTTGACATAGTATGTGATCCACATAATCTTACATTTTTTTATTGTTTTTTCTTTTACTTCTACTATAGTTATTATGTCGCGTTTCTTCTTCTCAAAAACTCATGTTATTTGTTTCACTTCAAAAAACTTGCAGCGACACGATATATTCAAAAAGAGGATTGACTCCCATGGAGCTGTTATTGAAGTCAGACAAGATGGAATTGGTGCTCCCAAGGTTTGTTGGTGATTGATACTATATGTTTTGCAGTATTCCGCTGCTTATTTATCTACTTATTTGAACATGAAGGCCTATGCATTCATGAATGTTTTGCAATATTCCTCTGCTTATTAGTCCATATGATTCTGCTATTGAATTCCGCATTCATGATATAATACTTTGCTGCATTTTATGGTGTCAGTTATCTTAATGCTTTAGAGAATTGTGATGCCTCATTATGAATCACTTGCATGGTTATACCTAATGTCCTTCCATGGGTGTTGTAGTAAAGGGCAAGTATGCTGTGTAGCCTGGTGATTCAGATCTCACATTGTCCTGTATGCTTTATTCTAGTTTAGATTTACTGTATGCTTATACTTCACTAACTGTATTGTTCTCTCTCTCTTTCTCTCTCTCTCTCTCTCTCCTATTTGTTCCTGTGTAGATCGAGAGGCCTTTGCAGAAGCACGGTGGCAGACTTGAGCACAATGAAACATACTGTGGTTCATGCTTTGGTGCAGAAACGGTACTTTTCAACTTCAGCTAGGCTTCTCTATTTTTTCCTTCAATTAGCGTAGATAGTTGCTGGCTTTTAATGGGTATTATTCTAAACCCATCCAAATGTACATTCCCAGAATGGTGAACATGAAGTTGTCATGATAACAAGGGAGAGAGTAGCCTAGTGGAAAGGGACATCCTCCCCCAACTGTGAGGTTGGGTGTCCGAGCAACCATTGGAGCAAAGTGGAAAGCCACTATTTGGCTTTGGGGCAGGAAGGTCTGGGTGCTGCTGTTTGAAGTACTAAAAAACAAAAATTTCACGATTTGTTATGATTTATTAAAACTAATGAATCTTGAACTAGTAGTAAAGGGTATGTTTTTATCACTCTTGTCATTGCAATCACATACTGAACCACTTTTGTTGAGAATGAATCACCTAGTGAACCACTTTTCTGTCAAAGCTTGTTCAAAGCACAGAAATTAATGGTACCTATTAATTAAAAAAACCCAGAAAGGACCGAAATCATGATTAGATGGTGCTAGATCAGTATAACTACTTGGTTGACATGAGGGTGAAAGAATGGCCGCCACTATGAGAGTGAAATGGTTTTTATTCATTCCCTAAAATCGCTCTCTGGGTCTCATTTTCTGAGTCAATTGGTTTCTTGTTGGATGAAATTTTTGCTTCCTTGCTTTCTGTTCTCTGGAACGGAGGCTGCTGCAGCTGGTCTGTGTTTGAACTTTGAACTCTTATTTTCATTGACAGATTAGCTATTTGTCCCTTGTAAGAACATAGTGCCAAAGACTACATTCCATATATTTTACGTCTGTCTCCCATGTCTTTTGCAGGCAGATGATGAATGTTGTAATACATGTGAAGAAGTTCGTGAAGCATATCGAAAGAGAGGCTGGGCGATAACAAATACTGATTTAATCGATCAGGTTTACATTCATGTTCAAATCATACCTGCTCTTAATTAATCCACGATGGCCACACTGAATACAGAACATTAAGTACATAAACAAAGAGTAGGCACATTCAATTGCTTGTTGACTGTTATTAGCATGTGGCCGTTGACTTCAAAGGCAGAAAAAAAATTGTTGAAAAATTTGTCAATTTATTATTGTCAAGTCATTGACAAGCTTATTTCAACCAGTTTATTTTGTGTTAGCTTGTTGCTTCACCACCGTAAGGGGTTCGGGGTAAGTTGGAGACAGTCTAAATAAATAGTGAAAGAGAGTGCACAGTAAAATTGTTCAACACAATATAGTGGGGAGGTAGAAGTTTTTATTTTGCATAGTGGAAAGGATGAATAAAATGGAAAGCAGCAGAGGACGTGCTAATAGTTTTATTATATTTAATTATGGCAGAAGGATATTATTAACCTACTTATTCATCAGTGGTCATTCTTTTTATTATTCTGATGTTGCTTATTTGATATTTTAACTTGTAGTGTAAAAGGGAAGGTTTTGTCCAAAAGATTAAAGATGAAGAAGGTGAAGGATGTAACATCCATGGATCTCTAGAGGTCAATAAAGTGGCTGGGAATTTTCACTTTGCTGCTGGAAAAAGCTTTCACCAGTCAAGCTTTCAACTCTTCGAACTGATTGCCTTACAATCAGATACTTATAATGTAAGATGCTTTCTAAAATAAATTACTTATAAAAATAAATTGTTGTCTTATAATTTTGATCTATTTAGGAATGTTGACCAACACTCAATTAACATCTTTTTTTATGTCATACAGATCAGTCATAGGGTAAACAAGATAGCTTTTGGCGACTCTATTCCTGGAGTTGTAAATCCACTTGATGGGTAATTTCCTTACTCTCTGCACTCTACTATGTATCGCCTTGTGCTCCTAACTATAGTTCAAGGTTAACTTGCAGTTTCCTGTGTATCTTGAAGTTTAACATGCATTTATCAACTTATAATGTCAAGCTTATTTACAAATTGCAATTAGCACTTAGAAGATGGAAGACCTTTCAGCTTAGATCATTGGTTGTCCATGTAATTACAATTTGACACATTCATCTTTCTATTCTTGCTGAACAGCGATGTTTATTATATTTTCTTTACGTCTATCACATACCCTCGATCTCCTTTTCCACCCTCTCCCTGGGGAAAATAAAAAATGGAGAACATATCACTTCCTTTCTTATTTTATCTTTTGCACTTGTATATTGCCTGAGAATTTTTGGTTCTTTTACCTTTTAGGGTTCACTGGACGCAGGAAGCACAGCATGGAGTGTATCAATACTTTCTAAAAGTCAGTGTTTGTGTGATATAGCATTCTTCCTTTCTGCTTCTTTCTCCTCCTGATTTGCATGCATATGTGTATTCTTGATAAGTGTGCATGTGATGTTGGAAATTGGCTCGAGGCAGAGAAGGAAATAAAGTAACATAATTGAAGTGAAAAAAGGACCATGTACAGGAGAAGCATGGCAACTCAAGATTGTAAATATCAAGTTTCTATGAACCCAAGACTCTTCCTTTAAGTGTACGTAAAGCTGTGGTAGGATTTAAAATTATGTAAATAATTGTAAATCTGGCTACCAGCAGCAGTTTTTTGTGCCGATGAATATACTGTTACCATTCTCAAAAAAGAAAAGAAAAGAAAAGAAGAGTAAATAATTCAGTAGTTTTTAAAAAATAATCCACATGGCTGAACTTGTTGCATAAGTGAAGCCTTAGTTTAAGACCAAAAAGTGCACTGTAAATCTATGCTAATTGCGTGTCATTACAGTGTTTAATTAATATAAATAATTAATTAACACCTTGGAAGTAAATCTTAGTTGCTATTGTAAAAACTAAAGAAAAATAGAGGAAGCAAAATTTAAATGAATTCATTTTCATGCTTCGTGGTCTGCGAATGTTGTCTTGCCGGCAGTTGGCACGAGTTACGTCAAAGACAAACACCAACTGTTGACAGAGAAAAGCACAACTGTGACACAACAGACGAATATCTTCTACCTATACTGTGATTTAGATGGAATTAATTGGCAAAAATCAAACTTTCTGTTTTCAAAGCTGAGAAATAAGAGTTTGCTCAGCATGTCTGCTGGTGTTTCAGGTGGTCCCTACAATATATAAAGGTTTTAGAGGCCGTACTATTGATTCAAATCAGGTATTTTGTAGATCTTTTTGAGGTGAACATTCTTTCTTGGATTTTTGTCAGTCTTTGTAATATGAAGGACATTGGTTATGTATAGTTCTCAGCGACCGAGCATTTCAAGAGTTCAGAGATGGGTCTTTTCCAATCACCTCCCGGAGTTTACTTCTTTTATGACCTCTCGCCAATCAAGGTAAAATCTCCTGCATTTTTCCCCTTTTATTCCTCTTTCTAAGTTATTTTTTTAAATTTATATTAGTAGGGCTCGGAAGTGATGGATTTGAATATAGTTGGGAGGAGTTTCCCTTCTTTATTATATCATTAAAATATCCCAATTTGAATAATCACAATCATGAACATGCAAGCATGAAAGTGAAAGCTTCCAATGCGAGACTACGGGATATTTGAAATATGGTTAAATGGTAAAAGTAGCACAACGCAGAATGTGTGATAGCCTGGTAAGGCACATTATGAGTTTGAAACTTGCTGTGAACCAAAAATGATTAAGGGAAGAGGGGTGCGCCTATTATCCACCGAGTTTTGAAGCCTATAATAGTGCAGTTATCGGTTATTAAAAAAAGAGAACTAAGTTTTTTTTTCTTCAAAAATGGTTAGATTTTCTATGGGACAAGGTGGATTATTCTTCCAATTTGGTTACTTGTTGCAGGTGACTTTCACGGAGCAGCATGTGTCATTCTTTCATTTCCTCACCAGCGTTTGTGCAATTATTGGAGGTAACTCATTGTCCGATATAGTATTCAGATGACCTTTCTTGTATTAATGTTACTCGTGATTGTTGGAGGATTATGTCATTCTTTGACTTCCGAAGGGAGGTAGAATATGAAGTTCTTAATTTTATGCCCCCGAGAAGAAATCAGGGGAAACTGGACAATTGGAAGATCTCTTTTGAGCTGCTCTAGAGAGGTTTTGCCCCCTCTTCCAAAATGTAAACAGGAATTGGTTCAAGCACCAGATACCAGTTTTCCCATCATTGGGAATTATGCTTGATTTGCTTTAAGCTTGACTAGTTACATTGCTTTTTCAGTTCTCTTCATAAATTGTGAAAATGGTAAATCTGAAAAAGGGCATATATAAAAATGGGAGAATGTCTATATTGTTTCAAGCCATCTTTCTTTGTGCAATTTTCTCTTCTAGAAATCAGATTTTGCTTTTTATAAGATCTGGCAACACTTCATTGTGACTAGGGTGCTAAACAGAATTCTGTCCCCAACTTTGTTTATTGAAAATTTGCTTTCTGTTTTGTTTCAATCAACAGCGTCTTAAGTTGTTGCTCTGGTCAACCAAGTGGTGAATGTTCATTTTTTTAAATCACTTTGTTCTTTGCTTGCTTCTCAGTGTTAATTTCGTACAACCTACAAGATACTTACATCGTCTTATCATTTAATTCAGGTGTCTTCACAGTTGCTGGAATAGTAGATGCATTTATTTACCATGGTCAAAAGGCGATAAAGAAGAAAGTGGAACTCGGGAAGTTTGGGTAATGACACTACTGCAAGCTAGCGCTTTATCATTTTCGACTTCGACTTCAGGTCTTCAGCAGTAGCTAGTGCATAGTACTGGATATTTGTTCATTTCTCTCCATCCTCGGGCCTTCTGATGGTTTTGTTTGGTTATTTATTATGTATAAGCCTTCCAACAAAAAGGAAGACATATGCATCAGTTTCGAAGGGTAAAATACGTTAAGAAGGGCAAAATTCCACAACTGCAGAATATGAATAACTTCTGTAGTTTCTGCTGCAACTCATTCTCATTGTGCTTCGTATTTCACCTGTGAGTTAGATGATCTTAGGTATTGTACTTCTGTTCAATTGATAGAGATGATCTTTTTTGTAGCTTGGACTGAATTTTGCATGCCGAATTTTCTCCCAGAAACAGAGTAAATTGTAATTGTTGAGTGGTATAAGTTGACTTTTGTCCACTGAATTGTATACTTTTAGGATGTCCACACGAGCCTGAATGTTAGCAGCGTAGAATCGGCACATTGATTCATAAATACAAGATTCTTCGAGAATGCGATTTTCAGTTTTGTACTTCTTGGTACATTCAGTCATGCAACTAAGCAGCAAATCTAATCGAAGACGCTTTAGAAATTAATAAATCAAAAAGAAAAGAAAAAAGTTTCTTTGTGATAGAACGTCTTAAGATATTGTAGATTTTGGTCCGACGACGTCAATTTCGCAATAACTATTTATTTCTTCGTGATTTGGCTCATTTGTGAAAGAGCGGCAACCAAAAAGCAAAAAGACGAAATAAAAAGAGCAATCGAGGAAAAATGTTGCTGCCCAGGATCGAACTGGGGACCTTCAGTGTGTAAGACTGACGTGATAACCACTACACCACAGCAACTTCAGGTTGTTTGTAGAAACTTCTCTATTACATATCGTTTTTACTTCCAGGAGAACGCGTAAACCAACAAAATGTAATATCATTAGGAAGAGGTACAAAATCTCAGCTTAGGTTTCCACTTTGAACTTGAAATTTGAAAAAGAAGAAAGGAAAAAGGAACCAAAATCCATAGGTTTTCAGTTATACCCACATTGGGTACTAAAGAAGGGATGTGCGCTAAATCCCGATCGCTGATTCTTTTTCCCTATTAGTAGTAAATAACTCAACGTTTATATTTGGAGAACAATAAGAAAAGAGAAGCAAGAATGATTCAGTAGTTCTATATGATATAAGAAGATACTGATTCTCGGAATACTTATGATTTTTTTGGCTTCCACTCTATCAGAAATAGTTCAGGACAATCTCGGTTCTGCCATTTTTTGACATAAAACTGAAGGAGTTTTGGCACTAGCACAAATAATCGACTAAAAAACGACTCCATACTCAGATGATTATATATGTCCTCTGAATCCATTACATTCACCAATTTATAACTCCATCAGATGTTTCAAGGCCAACACACTATGTTCAGATCGGCTGTTGAAGTAGTAAAATTAGTCGACAAATCTGCAAGACCTGCCCTCATGAAGGGGTAAGTTGTATTTATTCTATAATTGCCAATAAATATCAACCAGTAGAACACATAGGCGAAGTTACAAGGACTGTACCGACATACTTAAACAACAAACAATAAGTGTGAAAGAAAGCTTCAATGGATTTGATAGCTCTTCTGTGGAGCTATTAGCTGAATCTTCCATTAAAAATGATCTGAATACAAGCAAGAATACTCAATTCGAAAACTGAGTTAAAAGGAGAAGGCTGCACTGACCATCAGAGAAGTTAAATCCACAAGCATTTGAATTGATTGCAACACATTTTACAGTGTCTTTGCTTTTCGACTGCTTGTTAAAATGAACCCTTTGCAACGTAACACCAGGAAATAGGTTGAATGGTAACGACTACATCAGCCAATCAGAGAATTCACAGATGAAGTTCACTCATATTGCGACATGAGAACATGAAGTTTTACCTTTAATTTTCACTGACAAGCCTTGTTACCATTAAATTTCCCCAGCTTAACTCCCTCACTCAATATAGAAACTTTGCTGACAGATTCAGCTGACATATTTCCAGACAAACACTCTTTTACTTGACATAACATCCACAAATCTATTCAAGATTCAAGCTGGTTGTCAGCTCAGCAGTAAGCACGAAGAAGCTAGTATATACCTTTATACCATGCTTGGCAAAAGGATTGCAAAGGGGCTGGTGTATCGAGGGTTTCTAATTTTTCTCTGCACGTGAACAGATGACTGATGAGAGTTAAAGAGTGATCCTACTCCATTCATTCAACTTCTGAGGGGTTGAAAAATTAACTCGGTCTCTTTTTATTTGCTACCATGCAAGGCAAATGATTCCTTTCCTTCCTCTTTCAGATCCACTCCTATTGGCCATCACACTTTTCATCTCAACTGCGAAAGTGCTAGGATAATCAAAAGACACAACCAGCACTAAGCTTCGGGAACAACTTTAAGTAATTAACAATTTAACAATTTTTATTACTTGCCTGGAGAGGTAGAAACATTTCAGAATTGCATCTATACCTCAGAAGTTAACTTCAAACCATCAGCTTCAACTCTTTTCTTCTTTTCTCTTCCGGGCAAGATATTCATGATACTCTTCCAGCTCTTTCTCCATTTTCTCAATAAATTGACTTGTATGCTCCAATGACTGCTCATATCGATACTTTTCTAAGGCCTACAGTTTTACAAAGCCAATAGTAAATCGTCTATTGAATAAATTCTTTTAATTTTCACATACAGGTTGATTCAAGCACGACATCACAAGAAAAATGCATACATCACCTTGTCTTTAGATAGAGTATCTGGAGGAGACATGACGTCTGGTTGAACATAATTTTTTCCACGATAGAAAATTATGGTATTGTCTGGTTTAATATCAATAACAATACCTCTGCTCAACCGAGTCAGCTCTGCAGCATATTCATGAACCTGCCCAGGCTTGCAAGGCTTGCAAACAACCTTAACTGTCTCATGTTTCTTCCAGTGAAGATGCATATTCAAAACAACCCCTCCAAATACTCCTCGCCTTCCAACCGGTACATAATTTTTCTTTTTCTCACCAGTGCGCTTTAAGTAAAACTTCTCTTCTTCAGTTAAAATTTCAGGATCATGCGGTTCATCTGGAGCTTTAGGTACCTCAAATTTTCTCAGTTTCTCAATCAACCAAGCTTCCTTTCGTTTTGCCTACAACATATATGCAACAACCAACATTAAGAAGTCAAATTTCAACACTCTTCTTCTTTTTCATCAGTTTGGACCATTGCAAAAGAAAGTGATACAGTTTTGGCAAACATGCCAAAGCTACATTGGCCTGATATACATGGATAAATGATTCTCCGACATATCAGAATCAGAAATTAGAGCAGGCAAGACAATATTGTCAAAAAATAATGACATACAAATTTTCTTTTTCTCAAACTTCTTTTTTAGAAAAAAACGTGTAAGTCATGATGACAGAAGACCATTCGAATGCTTGGTAATATTAACCGGGAAAAATTACTACATAGAGGCAAAACATTCTGCTCAACATATCTTAAACAAGGATATCATCACCCTCAATGGCTCTGACCTTCTCAAGTTTGTATCTGATCCTAACTTCAGGATTTGGAGATCTCATTTTCTTCTTTGCCTTCAGTCTGTAAAGTCTGAGTTCATTCAGTTTTGCTTTTTTAGACATTTTAAACTTCTTCACCACACGCTCTGCCTTTGTCTGACCACCACTTTTTCCAATTTCTTGACCAAATCTAAATCTGACAACGCCTTTTTCTGTATTCAGCTCTATCGATGGACTAGAGAACTGTCTCGCATGGACCTGTTTCAAAACGATCTCACGAGACCCAGAAGTTAATGAACTTGGCCGCAAAGCGTTGGTTGCAGGATCTTGACATGGTAATCTACGAATTAATCTCATTTGGTGATAGTTTCTGGAAATTGAGGAGTTGACATGACTACGAAAACGTGTAAAGGAAGTTGCTTTATGCAAATATGCACGATTTGGAAGAATTCTTCCAGAGTGACAAAACATAAGAGGAGATCCCCTACATAAATGGAAAAAACCAATTAGCAGATAAATTGCAAATGCTCATAAATAACTAACAGAAAATATAAAAGAAATGTTTTTCACCAATTTATAACAACCTATAGCATTGGGCCAAAGATGGAACTGTTGAATAGCCTCAATTCAAATAATTAATGTTTTTTTAATGGGTACCGATAATTCTTTCTAATTAAGAGGAAAAAAATTCACCCTTCCATTTGACAAATGAAGAATTTCTGTTCTTATTGGAATAACAACAACAACAACAACAATTACAACAAGTACGCCTCAGTCTCAAACAAGTTAAGGTTGGCTGTACGAATCCTTACTTTTTTATTTACGCTCAACTCATGTCATCAACACGACAAATTATCTTCTTATTGGAAACTAATATAAATTCTGTATATCACTAATTAAAAACCTAGGTACGAAAGTGGCTGTAATGAGTACCTTGAGGCGACATTGAAATTGGAATGGCTGAAAATGAAGCTCCAAAACTTGAGGGAAGAGTTTCGAATGTATTTCTTTACTGCAAACATGATCTTCACCGCGGCGAATTCTGGTTGCTCAGTCACTCTCAGTTTACTCTCTCAGCTGCTGAAATTTTGACCCGCCAAACGCACCAGCCCGCCCCAAGAACTATGGACCCGGTTTGAAATTGGGCTATTGGGGTGGCCTAATGCCAAAGCCATTAACAATTAATGTTGTCGTACAGATGAGATGACCAGGGTGGCCATAATACCGGCCGAATCGAAAAAATCGTGGAACAGTAAATTATGATGTTTTGGTTTTGGTTTAATCGATTTTTCGGTATGTGCACGATTTTTAAATTATTAATTTTTGATTTTTCGGTGCAATTTACGGTTTTGGTATTTCGGTTTAACCGAAAAACCGAAATTTTGGGTATTAGTTATTACCCATTTTAGGCTGAAGCCCAATACCTATTTGAACTTTGAAGCCCAATTTAGTGTACCCAAACCCAAACTTACTGATAGTCTGTCTAATACCCAAACCCATAGGTTACACTGACTAAATCACTAATACACTTAGTCACTTCCCAATTCTCATTTCCCAAACCTAAATAAAAAATTAGATTTAGGGTTTTTTGGTTCTTCCTTCTTCTGCGAGCCTGCAACTTATCGTTGTGTTAATCAAAAAACATCATGCCAAATACCAAAGCATCTTATCATCTAGGAAACGTTTATGTAAGTTCTCTCATTTGATAAGCTTTACCTTTACTTTATAGGAATATGTTTCTTTCGACTCTTTTCTGCAAAACTGACGAAGCTTATAAGGTTTAATATCTTAATTCCAGCCTCAAGGCTCTCTATAAAAATGGATGGCATTAAAAGCTTTTATGTGAGGGTACTCCTATTAATGTTGAAGAAGATTTGGAGTTTCTTGAGCAAATTGAACTTGATAAGATTTTGCGTTATATGAGTGTTTTAGTGAAAATTAGTTTACTTTGTAAGTTTAAATGACACACTTTATCAAATTATATTTAGATATGGCAACGAGCGGAAGAGAAACTTACATTGTTGAAAGAGATACTAGCATTGTTGATTCATAGTTTGAACAAATGGTAAGTTTAAAGATTTGCTTGTTTTATGATATTCTTTTGTTATTTATAATTAAAAATATTTTATTAACTTGTGAACTTTTCTTTTTTTGTAGGTTCAACTATGCCTCGTGGTTCTAAAGCTAGATCATCTATTTGGGAACATTTTGAGCTAGTTAAAGTAAATGAAGAAGCCCGCAAAGCAAAGTATCTTCATTGTGGTAGAGTTTATAATTGTCATCCAAAGTATTATGGCACTTATGGCTTAGTGAAGCATATTAAGAAGTGTCTCATGCCTCATCCAGTGATTCGTATTTAAGACTTTAAGTATCATTTTCTAGACTTACTTTGTGGCTTGTGGGTTAGTGACTAGTTTGCCACTGTTTTGTTGTTTGGTGATGGTATTTCTAGACTTATTTTGGACTTTGGTAGCTGCTAGATTTGCCACTGTGTTAAACTGTTTTGGACTAGTTTGCCACTGCTGAACTGTGCGGTATTTTGCTACTTAGGTATTGTGTTTGCACCGAAGGCCTCCCTGTTCTCTGTGTGTTTGTTCTATATAGTCTATTCTTGGTTTTATTTATAGTGTAGTTTCAAATTAGAGTGTTATTGTCAGTAAAACTTGTGTTAGACTGCCGTCTGCCACTGTCTTTTTTTGTTGCTGGGTTGTCTTTCTCAAAAGTCAAAATGACAATTTGCTGGGCTGGACGAACAACAAATAAATTCCAGCCTTGTTTATTGATGTTCCTAAAAATCGTAAATACTTGTTGTTCCTATAACCGTTTAAAATCGAAAAAATAAACCGAAAATAACCGAACCGAACTTTGAAAAAACCGCACCGAACCGTAAATACTTTGGTTTGATTTGGTTATTAATATTACAAAATCGAAAATCGATAAACCGAACCGTACTTTCATAATAACTGACCGAACCGACAGACGCCCACCCCTAGAGATGACACCAGGTAGCCACTTTAAATGACTGCTATTTAGGAATTAGCCAGTGCGTCCTGGATTTCAGTTCTTCAGTTCAAATTTTCAGGACAAAAATGTTCTCAATTGTCCTGAAGTTAATATATTTAGTTTAAAAATTCAGGACAAAATAAGTACTGGCTAATTTCTAAATAGCATCCCTGAGAATGACTATACGTGCACTTACCCTATTAATGTCTTGTCCATAAAGTGCTTTCATGTGTTTAATCTTTAAGGGGTGTCTTTAGGGTGTATAAGAATAGTATTGAATTTGGTGAATTAGTAATACTGAGATTAGTAACGTTGAGATTAGTTATGTCGTAATTAATTATGCTGGAATTATTTCTTATCGAATGTTTGGTTTGATATATTAAAAATAACATACATTGCATATCTTTTAAAAATAAAGTTATTTGTTTACAAAAATACTCCACATTCTTTAGCTTTGTATACTTTCTTTGCAAAGGCTTAGAAAATATTTTCAAAGGACAACTCTATCTTTATACATTCTTGTCCATGAATTGAATTGTGTTGCTAATGCCATGTATAAGAATAATACTTAATGGGTGTACCAAAAATAAAATTGTCATTTATTGTAGACCGGAGGGAGTAGTATATAATATAAAATGTATTACATAAATGAGAAAATTTATAATGTCAAGGGCATAATAGACTTTTCAAATAAAAGTATTATAAAATCTGGCCAAAGTAACTTTTGTGATAGATAGAACAAAGTAAAATGATTTTTGTGTAACAAAAGAAAGAAAAATGACTTTTGGACAATGAACACAGAATTAAAATTTTTCTACGTAACAAAAAGAAGAAAAATAACTTTTGCATAATCAACACATAGTTGAATGACACCCATAAAATTTACTCTAATTTCTTTCGTTCGTTCTCTCCAAACAATAAGAGGTCGATATTGTCTAGGTTAATTAATTAGTTGATGCACGAAGTCATGTCCTGATCCGTGCTAGTAATACGTGGAATCATTCGATGTGTTTTTAAAGCTGTCGTTGCCTTATTGACTTCATTAAAAAGAAAGAAATAAAATTATAAGCAATAATATAGCTAGCGATTACCATACGCAAACATAAGGGTGGCTAAGTGCTAACTACAAGATTAAAGAAGCTGAGTGCAGTTCAAAACCAACTGCAAAACAATAAACCACTTAAGCAGACCTCACTTCTTTCAATACAATTTCTACGCGATATTTTATGTTTTATTTTATATGAATAAAACGTAAGACAAAAATACATGTATTAACAATATGCACGAAATTAAGAGTATCTACGGACAAAAAGATCCATTAAATTAGACAATCATTAGAATAACAATTTGTGTATTATCATTCACCTCATATGAGTTTTTTTATTATTATTCATTGCATAACAATCTTTACATTATTATTTGCCGCATAAATAATCTCTTTAATTTTACCCCTTCATAAGTCATAACTAGACCATAAACCAAATGTACGACCCAGTTTTAGTTGATTGTGTTGTCCTAGGATAGGCAGCGATACGAAGNTTTCTCAAAGGCATTTTTTTACCTAACTTGAGGTGTTTGGCCAAGTTTTTTTTGGAGGAAAAAAGTACTTTTGGGAAGAAGCAGAAACAGTTTTTGAGAAGCAGAAAAAAATAGTTTCTTCCCAAAAACAGAAGCAGAAGCAGTTTTGACTTTTCTTCTTACCAAAAATACCCTTAACAAAATATAGTATATACCAAAATAACCGTTAAACCTAATACTTAGGATATTAATGTATAAATATTTTTAAATATTTTTAGGATAACTTCCTAATATATAGTGACTTTAGGGGTGCATACTTTTATATTTGTTGAATGATTTTTAATATATTTAACTTATATTAAAAAAATTAAGTACTTTTAAATTTTATTTTTATATTTTACTTAAATAAAATGAAAAGATTTAATTATTGCTTGTAATAACAAAATTTTAAGATTATTTATTTACGTATAATGTTAACTATTAAGTAAATCTATTCATGTCCTTATTCGTAATTTGATACTTAAAAGCATTTTTTGAAAAACTTGGCCAAACAAAAATTATTGCTCAAAAGTGCTTTTTTGAGTGATAAGCCAAACATAAATTGTTCTCTCCAAAAGTATCACTTCTCAATCAGGTTAATAGTATCATAGGCCTGAACCACTTTTCTTTTCTCATAGTAAATAATTTCACAAATAAAAATTGCTCTAATATTACATGCACACGTTATACCTCAGTACATTCTAAATTAAACTAAGGAAAATTATCAAAGTATTTGTAATATCTCCTGATCTTATCGAGACGGAGTAGCAGTTGCTATAGAATCATCTGTCATAGATTGATCCATTGACAAAGACAGATCCTCTTCATCTTCAGAGTCAACCGCACCCTTAACACTTTCCACTTCCCTTACCACTTCACTCATCTCCGGCCTTTTCTCCGGCGACTTATCACAACACCTTATAGCAATTTGCAGCAATCGAAGCATCCCCGAGTTGGCACTTCTCTGCACAGCTATTTCAGTGTCAAATATCTCAGCCGTCCATTCTTCTCGGACCGCCCGATGAACCCAACTGCAGAGATCCGCACCGGTAACTCCAGGCGGAGCAGAATGTGAAGAAATTCTACCTTTTATAGTAGCATATATACACAAGATTTGTATATAATCAGTGTCAGTCTATTATTACAGTTTGAGTTATAATGAGTATGAAATTGCAGCGATATTTTTTATTTTTTATGTATACAATAATACATACTCTCTTACGGCTTGTTTGGATGGTTGTTACACATTGTTTCATAATGTATCGTATTGTATTGTATTATACTGTATCGTTTGATGAATACAATGTTTGGATAGATTGTATCATTTGCCGTTATTTCATGATATCATGCACCAGCAATATGAAAAATAAATTTGCAATATTATAAAGAAAAATTATGATACGTGGTAAATTTATTATATAAAAAGGTAGGGTAAATGATAAAATAAAATTATTTAATAATAGTGAAGGGTGAGGTGAGAGAAAAAGACAAGATAACGACGCAACCACACCAAATCGATCGTTACATAAAGTGACATATTTCGTCGTTACGTAACGACGAATTTAACGATACGATACAATAAAATTTAAGTAACAACCAAAAACATACATCGTATTTAAAGTAATAATATGATACAACACAATAGGTAACGAACATCCAAACAAGCTGTTAAGTTCAAAATAAGTAGTAGTAGTAGTATTGTTTTAGCCGAATCAATTTTGTTTAAAATAAGTCTCTTTAGAAAATTAAGAAGGCATTGATCATATTTTCCTAATTTATTTTAAAAAATTAATAAAAGAGATAAAGGTAATTTACGGAGAGATAAATGGGTAATTTTTTCAAGTAATCCATATAATTAATGTTATTAAATGATTTTTTTAATGTGTATTCAAACCTTTTTCCTAGGAAACAATATTGGATGAAACATTATATTAAAGGGTGTCTCTGTCACTAACCTGTTAACAATTCCAGAAGAAGACAGCCAAAGCTCCAAATGTCAGATTTCTTGGACACTTTCTTGAAGCCTAGATATTCCGGTGATCGGTAGGAAACCATTCGTTGAGTAGCAATGGGAAGTGCAATAAGGGAAGTGAGGCCATAGTCAGCGACACGAACATCATCATTTTCGTCTAGTAAAACGTTGGAGGATTTTAGGTTGCCGTGGGGAACAACGGCGGCGGCGGCGGCTTGGGAGGAGCTGCAGTTGAGGTGTAGATGCTCAAGTGCTCGAGCGACACCACGAGCAACTGATAATCTTGAGCTCCATCGAAATGGAATCCTATCTCTCGTCCCTTTTCCTCCTATTATACATTCCAACGAAAAATTTATGTTATATATGCAACAACATTTAAAGTTTTTTCTTTAACAATTGCTAAGCGAGTTTATTAGGGAACGTAATTAACTTCACCAATAATTTGTTTGTTAAATTTGACTTTCTAGTTAAATTAATCATTGGCAAATAATTGACCATTAAGATTTACAATAGGAGTTCACTCTTGTCATATATTTGGAATAGAAATTAATCTAATCACAGCCCAACTTTTTGCCATTGGAGCAAAAATTAATCTTAAAGGAAATAATATCCCCCATATTCCGGAATAAGCAATTGGGATGTCAAGGACAATAAATTTACTCGCAACTCATGATTACATCAAATTAAACCATTTAATCTAATAATAACAACAGTGAGGAGGATTCACATCATTTATGGTTATTTGATAAAAGTTTATATCCATCTCTACCTGACATATGTCTTGTATCAATTCGTTTAATTAGTATAAACACGGGCTAATGGAATTTGTCTCTACCATCTAAAGTTAATAGTAGTTCTTACAATGCGCCTAGATCAATAACTTGATAAGAATAAAATCAGTGAATATAACATACCATGAATGCGGTTATATAAGCTTCCATTAGGTGCAAATTTCAAGAGGAACAGCTTCTCATCTTTTGTATTATAATATCCAAGAAGAGGCAACAAATTTGGATGCTTCTGATCAGCAATAGCTCTCACTTGTCTCACAAATTCTTCATTCGTCAAAGGTTTCAAATCCCTTAAACGTTTCACCACAACAGTAGGTCCATCTACCAACATTGCCTTATAACAATTCCCAAAATTTCCTTTTCCCAATCCTTCTGCTGATGCTCTCAGTAAATGATCAAGTTCAAAATTTATTTCACTGCCTAAGAATATCAGTTTTCCTTTCTCTAATTCCACTTCTAATCCCACACTTCTTGATTCCACACTTCTGGTTTCTGTTGGCGTCGTCGTCGTCGTCTCCATTTTACTAGTCTCAATTTTTTCTACCTCCATTAATTTCATATTCTTATTCGTCAACATTTTCTTAAGCTTCTTTGATTTCTTGAAGTAGTAAATGAAAAGGAATAAAAGTACAACCATACCAACAACATTAATTACTATCAAAATAGGAGTCCACATGGATGATTTTGAATTATTTGAAGAATCATTATGTGAATCATCACTTGGACCTGGAGTTGATGTATCACTATTCTTGATAGTGCACGTCGTGATAGAAAAAAGAGGACCACATAAATCTTGGTTACCTAAGTATGAGGAAGTGCCAAATTTCTGAAGGGCTGTTGTGTTTGGAATTTCACCAGAAAGATTGTTGTCTGAAACATTGAAAACTTTCAATGTTGACTGATTAAAACCAGGGATCGGACCGTTCAAGTTGTTGTTTTGTACCTGCAATGACTCTAACAAATTAAGTGTTAAAAGAGAAGGTGAAATTTCTCCATCAAATCTATTACCAGATAAATTAATATCTTTCAAATTTTTGTTTTTGGAGAAGTCCATCAAGTTTCCTGATATGGAGTTGTTCTTGAAACTAAGTGTTTGTAACTGAGTGAGATTGACAAGTGCATCTGGCTTGAGTTTTCCAATAAGGCCAAGATTTTCTAGCCTAAGTCCAGTGACTCGACCGTTGATACAGCTTATACCAAACCAACTCGGCGTGTTATTTAAGTAACACATGAGACCTGTCCAGCTTTTGAGTACTTTAGGATTGTTGAAATCAGCTTTGATTGTTACAAGGGCTTCTCTCTCTGCGCCGTCGAAACCGTTAGCAGAACCATCTTGTGCTATGGCCATTGTACATAATTTCACTATGAAAAGCAAGATAACATAGTGCGTGAAGATATGAGAAGAACCCATTTTTTGATTGTCAAAGGCAAAGAGTTACACACAAATAAATGTTTTGCTTTGGAAAGGAAATAAGGTTCAAAAACAGGGGATGGAGTTGACAGCTGTGGGAGTTTCATTGTTGAGAGAAGAAAACAAGGACGATTATAACGAGAAATTGGTTTGTATTTAATTCTCAGCTGAGAATCCTAGGGAAGCCGCAAAACAAGATCTTTTTATCTTATTAGACAAGTGTGTTAGCTAGCTGCAATTGCAAGGAGATACAAGGGTGGGAAAAGTATATACTGAGATGTACCATGTTTAAAATTCACGAAATCATTATCGAGTTAAATTTAATTCAGAACATTGCACTTGTTTAGAATTTGAATTAAGCACCAGTTGTCTCAAACAACAGGTCAATGAATTGTCTTTAGATCATCTAGTTTACAAAGCTCTTTACTTGGTGTCTCTTCCCGTTTGAAGCCTTATAGATAATGCCAGAGTATGTAACATACCTCAATTCACGGGAATACAAGTATGTTGAACAAAATATTTTGTTGGGGGTGCGAATTAAGTCTAACATTGATAGCTAAAAAGATTGGGAACCTACATATAAGTATAAGATGTAGAGATTTCTTAATAGTGCGAGACATTTTGGGAAAACTGTGCGGGCATTGGCCTAAAACGAACAATGTCGCACCATATCAAGAGTATATTTGGGATGATTTAGCCCCTTACGAGAGTGCAGACACACACAAGAAAAGCTAATTGAGCCAAATTCAAGCCCAAACATTAGCTCATGAGGTGAGAAATCATTTAAAACCATATAAAAGGACTACAATTCATACCCTCAATTAATTTGGGACTCTTAACACCCTCTTGCAAACTGAAGGATAAATCCTGGAGATCTAGTATTGGATAAACCAATAATAGGGACGTGTAGTTAGATCGAAATTGATTTTAATGACACAAAATAACGATTTACTCCTTATATGCAGAAACAATCCTGAGCAATGGAAAAGAGGTATAAAAGAATTAAGACGAAAAAGGAAGGAAGAGCGGAAAATCAAAAGGCAAAATCAATCAAAGGGAATAGTAAAATCAATCAAGCAGGATATTATAGGAAGGATTCCAAATCAAAGGAGGTCAAGGGCACAAAATTATCCGCTGAAGATTCCTCCACATAAAGACGTCTATCTAAGCAAAAATCAAGGAATTTGACATTGGGAATATCCACTTAATAAAGGGTGAAATAAACCAGGTCCACGATTCAAGGCAAATCAACAAAAGAATTATTCTTGGAAAGAATCAATCTACGATTCTTTTTGACAACAACTCCCTTGGGTTTTCAATCTCTCAAGATTCACAAGACATGAAGGCCTCACAAAGTATAAATACCTACTGCACCAGCTGTGAGGAGACATACTCTGAACGAACCACTATCACTCTTTTTATTCTACTCCAAACAAGCATTGTAGTTCGCTTTACATCTGCTGTATAATTAGTGAGAGAAGAAAAAGAGATAAATACTGGTGAGACATTGTATCAAGAAGAGAGAATTGACATAGTAACTAAGCTGTTGGTGTAAAACAGCATCAACTCTGTGTAATCGAGAAACTTCAAATACTGAAAGAGAGCACCCTTGCAACCCACGTGAACTAGACGTATGATTCATATTGAATCCGAACCAGTATAAAAATCTTGGTGTCTTTAATTCCCGCACTTTACTTCTACTTTACTTATATTTTGTTCTTATCTTTCAGTCGACTAATTGGTAAACTAGTCAACTACTTAGAATGCAAAAAGAAAAAGTGACAATTCAGCCCCTTCTTGTACTTTCAATTGGTATCAGATTAGGTCTCACACTTTTTATCTTTTGCTTAATAACTAGTGAGAAAAGATCATGTCAAACCAAGTAACAATTGGAGCACTCTTTCAAGAAGGGACATCGCAAATAATACCACCATACTTCAATGGACAACATTTCTCTCACTGAAAAGTACGCATGGAAATTTATGCAAAATTCTATGATGTCAAAGTATGACGTGTCATAAAAAAGGGGAACTATCCACTGCCAGCAGCAGCTTAACCACCCGCTGATCCTAAAGATATAGATGAATACACAGACGAACAAATGGCTATGGTTCAAGTTAATGCTAAGGCACGAAACTTGCTCTATAATGCTATAAGTGGAGAAGAGTATGAAAAAATTTTAAGTTGTGATACTGCCAAGTTATGAAGGAATCAACAAAGTGAAAGAAACCCGGATGAACATGTTGGTTCATGATTATGAACTCTTCCAGATGAAAGAAGGAGAATCCATTGAGAAAATATTTGTAAGATTTATAAAAATCATTGGCGATCTGAAAGCTTTCGAAAACCCCTACTTAAGTGGTGATCAAGTTCGAAAAATCCTGAGGAGTTTGCCTACCACATGGCAGACAAAAGTAGTTGCACTCGAATCTCAAGATTTAAACAAACTTTCATATGATGAACTACAAGGAGATCTTATAGCATTTGAGAAAACTCATCTCAAGAAAACAAGTCAGGAAGAAAAGAAGAAAACAATTGCTTTCAAAACTACAACCGAAGGACCTGAAGATGATATTGATAATGATCCAGAAACTCTTGAAGAAGAAATTGCCATGGTATCAAGAAACAGGAATAGATCTATGAGAAGGTATAGAAATACAAATAAAAGGAAGCATGTTATCCAGACAAACTAGGCAATACAATGAACAAGACAAAAATGACGAAAAGTGCTTTGAATGCAGAAGGTATGGCCATGTTCAAGCTGAATGCCCTGAACTTAAAAGAAAAGTCTCCAGACGATTCAACAAATATAAATCCTTCGGAAGCTGGAGTGATGAAGACAACTCTGAACATGAGGAAATAGCAAACATGTGCTTCATGACTATTTAATAAAATGATACGAATAAATATTCTGGCTGCTGGACTGATGTCACACCCTTTTTTTTTTTTTTACCCTTAACCCCTTTAAAATAGATATAAAGTGATTTTTTAAAGTTCAAAAGGGTTTTCAACTGAAAGTGACAAAAAGATTTGTGTTTTAAAAGATTTTTCAGAGTCGCCACCTGACATTTGGGTTCGGTGTTCCAGGTCACCATTTTTTAGAAATGATTTGTTCTTTTAAAACACGTTTAGACTCGAAAACATAGTCTGCACCAGAGATCCAAGTAAGGGGGTTCATTTGACTCGGAAAAAGGTGTTAGGCATTCTCCAAGTCCCGTAACAAGTATGGTTGCATACTTGATCTAGTTGGCTTTAAAGAATACTCAAACTGAGGCAAAAACACACAAAGAAAGATAAACACACAAGAGGCTCGAGGTTGTCCCCACCTAAATAAAAGAAAATAAAATAAAATAAGAGAAAAATACTAAAAGTTTGTACTATGCTCACTCCGTCGATGTCCGTCACGGCCTCTAATTATATTCACTACGCGGCATACCCCGAATAAAAATATATACAAAATCTACAGGGCATTCCCTAAATAAAATAATAACTAAAGGAACAACCTTTCGCCTCTGATGCCAAAAATAAAGAAAACGTCCTAAAAGTTGCCTACCAGGGTGTGGTCGGCCTAAAGCTCCTAGCGGTTAAAGAAAGTAACAAGAAAATAACAGAAATAATGAAATATCCAAGGTTGAATTCTGTGCATTTTAACCCCAATCACCTACGGTCCAGTTATCATCCAAGGTTGTAATCAATTTACAATTGTCCATTTATCTAATACAATAGTACTTTCAAGTCTAAACAAATTGAATTCCTAGCGAAATTGTGAAAACATTTGCACTCACTCAAGTATAAATCATGAATTGTTTACACAGCAACCACGACAAAGCAATTAGAATAAAAATAGATATTAGAAATAAGAAAACACAAATAGAAATCATGTAGGATCAGTGAAGAGAAATGGACCTTCAATAGAAACTTCCTTTCAAATTAGATTAATAGACGGATCTCAGAACCAGGCGTACTATCAAGATTCTAATAACGATTCTATGTAATAAATGCCCCCTACTATAAAAAAATAGTAGCAATATGTGCAATATACAATAAATGACAATATAATGGCACTCGTGTAATTAAGATGAATAATTTAATCAGCAAGGGGTGGAACAAAAGAACCTTTCACATGATAATGATCGAACGACAGATCCTCAAACGATGGGGGATTCCTCGGACCTGACGAGAATCTTAGTGAAAAATAAAGTTTTGTATTGAGTGAAGAATGAATCTTTTTCAAAGTGTTGTTCTTACTAATGAGTCTCACGTGCCTCTATTCTCACTATTTTTCATATTTATACAAGACATATTCCTAGTAAACCCTAATAGTACATGTATAGAGAATATCTACAGAATATTCTTTTTAATACCCCATTTCAAAAACTAGCCGTTATAGCTTCATTGGCGGTGTTCGAACTCGACCATGATTTTCACCTCGACCTCGACTCATGTTGGCTCTTCGGCTATGAGCTTTACTACTTCCTAATCCACCTCGACTAATGGCGGCTCGAAAACCCTTTCCTTGGTATTTTCTTATTTCAAATATTCTAGAGCGAATTTTGACCCATACAGTTAGTCCCTCCGCTTATTGAGGCCGACCTCAAGAGCGCTTGATGAGCGAATTGTGTTCATTGCGGTTGGAACGTTTGCATGAGCTGATCGAGTCATGAGGATTGGGGCGAACTGGCAACGTGGCCCTTCGTAAGCCGCAAATTTTAGGGTTGTGCTGTCCATGATTCACATGACATCATGACCTCACGCGTCATCATGACGCGTATTCCCGATGCATCACTTCGTTTTGTGTGGGACTCCTGATTGGTCATGTCGCTTTGATTATGATGTCAGGCAATGATAAGGCAAACTTTGGTTCTGACATCCGAATTCTATAAATAGGGATAGGAGGATGCAATCCCGAACTTTAAAGATTTCCTTCATAAAAAAACCCTATATCTTCTTCTTCTTCCATTATTATACATCTTTCCCCTTCTCTCTAATGATCCATATCATTTTTAATCCTCTATTGTTCACAACCTTCCCCTATTTCGTCGAGAACATGTCTAATGTACCTTCTGAGTCAAGCGAGGGGAGCGACGCGATTCCATGAGCGATGGTGTTTCCCCCTCATGCGGAGGACGTTTTTGCGGCCACCGAGGATGGAAGCTTCCCAACAGTGGAAGAGATAGTTCCTCGTAACCCTGATATCAGGTCTGACTTCTTGAAACTGCCTGAAGTCGATCCCAAAACTTTTAAATTAGCAATGACAGAGGCTGATTTGATGGAGCTTAAGGAAAAATATGGTCTCCCCAACCTTATCGAGCTGATCCCTGCCGGGTGGGATGCGATGCAGGTTCACTGCCC